AAGACATTTTCTAACCTTTTTATATACACAAGTGATCCACGTTGCTGCGGCTAAAACCATGCTGAAGAACATAGGAGTCGAACTTTTGGTACCACATCCTTGGTGATTGTTTAAGCCCATACAGAGACTTCTTCAACCTACACACCAAGTCTTCCTTCCCTTTACATACAAACCCTCAGGTGCCTCATGTAAATTTCCTCCTCTAAATCTCCATGTAGAAATGCCGTCTTTACATCATTGTTCAATTTCAAGATCAAGCGCAGCAGCAATAGATAGAACATACCTGATTGATGTTAACTTGGCCACAGGAGAGAAAATCTCACCATAATCAACACCCTCATCTGCGAGAATCCCTTTGCAACGGTCTCGCCTTGTACTTTGCAATTGTCCCATCTACCTGCAACTTTTTTGAACACCCACTTGCAACCAATTGCCTTTCTATCCTTAGGCAATTTACATAGGATCCATGTATTATTCTTGTCCATGACTGCATCTCATCATTCATCGCAACCTCCCACAGTTTGCATCTTCCATGGCTCTTGCTTCATTTACATTCCTAGGTTCATCACCAATCACATTCAAAGCATGTAATCCACTCAATGCACTTAGAGAGAAACGAACTGGTGCCTTTCTAACTCTTGTAGATCTCCTCAAAGTTGATGGCACCACAACTTCATCATCAGAATCATCCTCAAAATCATCCACAAAACCCTCATTAGCCACACTATCAAGTTTATCTCATGGTCAGATTCTACAGACTCTAAATTTCAGTCTCTGCAGAAACATTTGGAGTCATCTCCTCCTCTTGCTCTACTGTGTCACATCAAACTGAATTTTCTTTGACTGCTCAAGATCTCAAGAGTTCCCACACGTTGTTTTACCTCTCTAAAGATTACATCTCTGCTGTATATAATGCTTCTACTCACAGGATTCCACAACTTGTATCCCTTGATGCCATCCTTGAACCCCACAAACTTGCACTTCTCAGATTTACTGTCAAGCTTGCTTCTCTTCTCCTTGGTACATGCACATACGCATCACAACCAAAACTCGAATAAAAGACATATTAGGTTTCTTACCATACAAAGCTTCATATGGCGTCATGTCTTTAATAGAAGAAGTGGGAGAACCGATTCTTCAAATAACAAGCCATCGCTGTAGCTTCTGCCCAAAATTCAGACCCCAATCTGTCGTATTCAGCATGCATCTAGCCTTCTCTAACAGTGACCGATTGAGACGTTCAGCCACTCCATTTTGTTGAGGCGTGTAAGGTGTAGTTTTCTGCCTTGCAATTCCATGTGTCGCACAAAATTGCTCAAACTTACCAGAGCAAACTCACCGCCATTATCAGTTCGCAAAGCTTTATCTTCCTGTCAAACTGATTCTCAACTAAGGCTTTAAATTCCCGAAATTTCTCAAAGGCCTCAGACTTGCTGCGCATAAATAAACCCAACAGTATCTAGAAAAATCATCAATGAAAGATACATAATACCTGGATTTACCAACAGATTCCACTGGAGTGGGCCTAAAAACGTCACTATGAATTAACTCCAGTATATTTTGCTCTCGTGCCTGTCGATTGAAAACTAACCCGATTCTGCTTGCCTTGTAAACATTCCTCGCAAAACCCAAAACTCATGGAACAGTTGAATACCTTCACCATATTCTGAGTCACCAAAGTAGACAAAGCCGACTCTCCAATGTGTCCCATTCGCTGATGCCACAAGTTGCAGAATCAATTTCTTTTTCAGCCTCCTTTTCCGAAACAAACCACCCAAGAGGAATTTCTTACAACTGATCTTGCAGCCTGTATAGTGTACCATGTCGAACTCCTCGTGCAATAACCATAGATCCCCGAGTCATCTTACAGGATGTTCTGTCAAAATTAAATACTATACCTGCGTCAGCCATTGTTCCAACAGAGAGCAGATTTCTACTCATACCAGGGATGTGCATCACTTCAGGGAGCGTCCTCACTGAACCATCATGCAACCTTAGCCTGATTTTCCCGCGCCAATAATCTTCACAGCAGTATCATCTCCTAACAGAACGTTTCCTCCATTGTATGTCTCATCCTCACAAACCATTCCTTGGGAGGTGTCATATGAACACGCACCAGTATCAACATACCAAACCGATTGGTCTGATCCAGCCATACATGCAGCAGCCACATACATATCACCATTTGATTCCCGTTTGTACGAAGTTTCAGCTTCCTTCCCCTTCACTGGTTTTGTTTCTGCAGTCTTTCTAAAATGCCCAAATTCCTGACATCTCCAGCATTTAATCTTACTTTTATCCTTGCTCTTAGATCACCTCGCACTTTCCCTGTCGCCAGACTTATTAGAATTCCTATCAAGTGTTCGTCCCCTAGCAGTTAAGCATCCCTGGACGAACCCTCTGAACCTCTTCGCCGCATATCCTCTGCCAACAATGTAGAACATACAGATTCCCACGACATCTGTGTCAATCCTCCACCACCAATCGCAACAATCAGATTATCCACGTATCAGGCAGCGAGCATAACAGTGTTACCACTTTCTCAGATTCGGTGAGTTGTACATCCATAGCCAGCAGTTGATTCACCAGAGTATTAAACTCATCCAGATGTGCAGCAGAGAATCCCCATCATGCATACGAAGATTGTACAGTTTCTTGCGACGGAACAGCACGTTCACCAAAGACTTCTCAGATACATATTTTCCAGCTTCTGCCATAAACCCTTAGCCGTATCCTGATCCATCACATTCGTTAGAACAGAGTCCTCAAGACAGATACGAATCAAACCCCTGCTTTCCGATCCATCTTGTCCCATTCAGCAAGTGCGGCACGATCAGTCGCTGATAATTCTCCTTCAGCAGGTTTAGACCCAGTGTACTTGACACCCAATTCCAGACGTTTCACTCGTTGTAACAACGGCAGTCCCGACTGTTGGCCTATCATTCACAATTGCACCCCACAGGTCCCTATCAACGAGTAGATCCTCCACCAGTTTCCAGAGCTCGAAGCGTTTGCCGTCGAACTTCTCAATCTCAACCTTTGATCCCTCATCTCTATATCACGATCTAACAGAACCTTGCTCTGATACCAATTGAACGAAATAGAGAAGCAACAGGAACAAAATAATAATAATTAAACAAAACAAACAGTAAACAAGAATGTAATACGCGCGATTTACCCTGGTTCACCCAATGTAGGCTACGTCCAGCTGAGTCTATTATTGCAATATGCCTCACTTCTCTCGTTTACAATGAATGATGTTTCTCACACACATAACAAGAGAAAAGTATGTTTATATACTAGGTTTAAGAGATTAAACCTAGTTTTACAAGAATTCCATTCCTAAGCCCAACCCAAAAAGGAATTAATAACTTAAAGGAATCCTACAGATTATACATGGAAAAGCCCAAAACCGCCTACGGGCTCGGGGGTAGCGGACCCCGATGCGTCTCCGTTACCCATTAATGCTGAAGTAGTCGACAACTCCAACAGTACCTCTCTTGTGCTGGCCTTACATTGTTGATCAGTTCCACAACGAAAGCTACATTTGCGATACGTGGAGGTAGGATTAAGGTTAAATAGAGATGAAAGGGGTCATTACACCAGAAGAAATTAAAACTAAGTGGAGGAACTGGTGGGAAATGGAAAATATAGGCAAGTGCTTTAGGTCTCAAGGAATTGGTCATGAGTAGCATCAAAGAAGGTGGGAGCTCCACAACAATTTTGAATTTCATTCTATGGTTGAAATCATAGATCATTATATTAGTTATTGCTATTCCCGTGGGGTTAATCTGTGCCAATTTCAGAGGAGAAACAATTCAATTTGTTTTTTTTTTGTTTTTTTTTCTCTTTTTTGTGCCGAAATAAAATTTCATTATCAATCTGGATTCCTTTACGGTTTTTACTTGACATGTCACTCTGCAATGGCATTTTTGATATCTCAAATCAAATCAGCTATTGCTCCGCGTATCTCGGAATATCAAAAAACAATGATTTCGATAAACGAGAATGAAATAAATTAGTTCATATATCTCTTTTCTAACCCAATTTCCTGACATTTCACTCAAATGCGCATCAATTAAACCTGTTTCCAGGCTGTGAACTAATAAAAAATTCTGTAGAAGAACAGAGACAAAATTACAGCCCATACCCACATGGCCAAGGTTATAAACAGATTAGAACAGAGAAATTCATTAAAAAGGATATTATTAAGCTCATCCATGTCCCAACTGGGTTCAAATTAATCATCAGTAAGATCAACAAATTAGGCTTCAACCTGATCTCATTGACTTAGATATACCTAAAAGGCATTGAATAATAATAATAATAAAAAGTTGTTGAACCGCTTCATCAACAAACTTCACGTCAAAATATTTAATTGTGACAATTATCTCAATCTTATGCAACATCAAACTAATTACATTATTACAAAATAGGTTTAAAGAAATCAAGAATTCAAACTACAGATCCATCCCCCTTAATCATCTCTGTTTTTTCAGGAAAAAAGGTCAAAAGATAAAGACAGAAGGAGGACCAAGCTACACATATGCCTCAATAAGAGACAACAGTAACCCACGGAGGTTGATAATGAGCATCATCCGGTGCATCAGACAGCAGCGAAAAGATAGCTGAGAATGAGATTACATGGGGACCCTCCACATATTTATAAACTTGTAATCAACATGATATATAGAAGCCAATGCTTTCAAAATCAAGGGAAAGAGAGAGAAAACTGAAATGACTCGTCCACATTCTGTAATACCTTTCCAGCACAAGGTCATGTAATTTCTTTACTTGAGCTTTCACATTGCTTAGTGAAGCATGGCCTCAGGTCACGTTTGCAAACACAGATCATACTCACAAGCGGGTCATCAACGCCTTGCAGGAAAAGAACTATGTAGGAGATGATGAAGAAATCCGCCTGGTATCGATTCCAGATGGATTGGAACCCTGGGAGATAGAAATGATTAGGCAAGTTATGTGAATCACTTGTAAGGGTGATGCCTGGGAAGCTGAAGACTCATACAAGATCAACAACAAAGAGGAAGATAAAAAGATCACTTGTCATTGCTGATATGCATGTTGAATGACCCTGAAAACGGCAAAGAAACTGAAAATTAAAGGGGCTGCGTTTATGCCGATGGCAGTGGCGTCTCTGGCCTTGTACTACAATATTCCAAAGCTGATTGATGATGGAATCATTAACAAAGACGGTAGACACTTATAAACATTTCTTTTTTCTTGTGTTCTCCCTTCATGATAAGACTAGATTTGTAACATTTGATGAATGATGATTTCCCTTTAACTTATTTTAGGAACTACGACGGGAGACATATGATTCAGCTGGGGCGAAACATTCCTACAATCAGCAATGCAAATCTTATCTGGAACGTTGGCGACTTAATCACCCAGAGAAGATTTTCCTACTTATTGAGAAGGCCAGAAGGTATACAAATGGAAGCTGACTACCTGATTTGCAACACGACGATGACCTTGAGCCTGAAGCATTCAACTTGGTTCCGAAGTTCTTCCATTGGACCTCTTTTGCAAGCAACAGACAAGGAAATTCAGAGGGATACTTCTGGCCAGAAGACTCAACTTGCTTGAATGGCTGGATCAACAGCAACCTAACTCAGTCATTTTGTGCATTTGGCAGCTTCACAGTTTTAGACAAGATCCAATTCCAAGAGCTGGCGCTGGGACTTGAACTACCAACAGACCATTCTTATGGTTGTGAGGCAGATATTACTGATGATGCAAATGAAGCCTACCCAAGGCTTTACGAAAGGGTAGCCAATCGTGGGAAAATGGTGGGTTGGGCACCTCAGCAGAAGGTTCTGAGTCACCCTTCCATTGCCTGTTTCATAAGCCATTGTGGTTGGAATTCCACCATGGAAGGAGTAAGCAATGGGCTTCCTTTCTTGTGCTGGCCATACTTGCTGCCAGTTATTAATGAGGGCTACATTGCTGATATTTGGAAGGTGGATTGAAGTTTAACAATGACGAAAGTGGGATCATCACCGAGAAGAAATTAAGACAAGGTGGATCAAGTGCTGGTGATGAAAATTTCAAAGCAAAAGCTTTGGAACTCCAGGAATCTGCATTGAAAAGTGTCAAAGAAGGTGGTCTGTCTAACCAGACTTTCAAGAAGTTCATTGAATGGATAGAGCATAGGAACTGGAATAAGATAACTAGTATTAATGGATCATTTCTCCTCGAACAAATAAACTTGTCATTGTTGTGTTGCATGAACTGAATGATAGACAGTTTCTAAAATAAATGTATTATGTCTATGTATTAATGCTGATCTCAGGGCTCATCTTTGATATCACCTCCGTTAAGCTGACCTTTTTTCCCAGGAATGAAAGTTTAAACTCACAGTTATAAAGACAAAAATACAGCCCAAACTACACGCCAACCAGGTCACGAACAACTTCATCACACACATGTCGCGACTCGCGTTTCAGAATAATTCATTCTTTACTCAGATGCATGCATTGGTTACTGGTTTGGTGCTCCTCCCGATGATGACGAACTTTTCCGTATATATTTTATAACAGCTGAATCTGAGAGAAAGGTTCAACAGATATTATGGTTAAAACAAGTAAATTATAGCAATAGACAAAATAAAGTTTAAGAAACCAATAAAACCGAAGATAATTTTAACAATCAACTCAGTCGCTGGCCATTATCGTCTCTAACTTCATACATGTATGATACATGATTCTATCCATAACTCATATAAGAGTAGCAAAATCCCAAGCGAAACTCGCTGGAATAGCTCAGATCAACAGATCATAAGAGAAGAAAATGACAAAACGACCTCATCAGTACGAGACAAGCAGTACCCGCTGGGTTAAATGCTATTTCTAGTGATGAAGATAATTGTATTGTTTGTTTTAGGGTATAAACGAATAACCCTAAAATGCCTTTTTGCATGTTTGAATTTTAACGGTGGCTGGAAAAAAAATTCTGAGACGTTCTGGGAAAACTTATTTACGCCTTACTTTGGGTGGGAATTGTCATTCTCCCAAAAAAAAAATGTTTTTGCACTGCTTCAGCTGCATTTAGCATTAGAACTTTGTTACATTTTTCACCTAAAAGGAATAGCATGGTTTGATTATGTTATCGATACAATAACTAACGAATAATAAATATTCCCTTAATACCAATAACCAATCATTTAATAGATAATATAATGTAATTCATGAATCCCTAATAACATAAATGTTTTAAAAATTCTGAACATTTAATTTTCAATATTTCAAGATTCATTCATTGTGACTTTTACTTTTCCAAATTATTTAAGATGCTCATTCTTATTATGTTACTGATTTTCTCCACAATATTTTCAACCCCGTTTTCATATATGAAAACACTTGCTTTTACAATCGCATCACGAGTAAAAACACAGTTGCCAAAATAATTTGCAGGGAGTGGAGGATTCGAAAGGTTTCTATAATCCACTAGGAACAAAAAGTTAACGTCTTTGTTAGCTTCTACTTTCACGAGACAAGCTAAAACATACGCATAAGTAACGACAGAACTTGATAAATGAAACTCTTTTGCTACTTTTCCTTCTTCCAGTTTAAACGTGGCTCGAACTGAGTTACGATTTGCTCTGAATTCTTCCAACAGCGTCAAGCTTTGTTGATTGAGTTCCGAAATATCGGACCCCTTGAAATCAAACCAGTTCTTCAAGTACTTAATGCAAAGTCCAGTTGGGTCTTTGACAACCGTCCGATCAAAGAATGGGGTAAGTTCTGGCAACAAAGAAGGGTGTTGTTTGGCTTGCTGTGTTCATAGATAAGCCTAGGATTTCATGAAAGCGATTGCAGTATTGCCGTCAATAACTTCATCGTTTGTAGCTATGCCAATACAAAACCCTTGATTGGGAAACAAGGTTATTTGTTGAGCCATGCTTGATGCACTTTTGTCGGATGACAACAACTCCGGTGTTAAATGACGTGACTCGGGAGACTCACGAATATCATCGCTGGAGAGACAGTTAAAGTCTAGTTTAGACTCGGTGACGAGGACAGAAACGGCATCGTCGGGTGGAAGATGGTGGGTATGTCAGCATGTGGAGGCCATGTGAGTTTGTCTGCAAGATGGAGATAGTGAAGAAGAGAAAGAGAGAGTGGATGTTTGAGTTTAGGAAGAATGTCGGAGTTGAAGTGAAGCAGGGTTGAATCAGTGAGTTGATAAAAGAATAGAGACTCAACTGGAGGAAATTTTAACCACATTGCGTCAAAGAAAGTGAGAGGAATAGAGAAGTGGGTGGGAGATTGGGGTGAGTCGATTAATGGGCTGACTCGGGAAGTCTCAAATATCTTCACTACTGGGTTATGTGAAGCCATGGCCGATGAGAAGGAATCAGAGAAAACGAGCCTCAAACTTGAATGGTATTATGTTTTGATGTCTCTTTAAAGATGAAAGCCTATAAATAATGACTATACTCTAAATTTCTTAATTTATTATTAATTTAATTAGAAGATAATTAGCATTAATTATGTGGGAACCCTCTTCATGATCTCATTGGCTTCTGCTATTTTATGTAATAATTATATACTTGAAACTTCTAATATCCATAAATGGTCCTAGTTTCTAAATTAGTTTTAGATTTGCCGCTTGTCTTTTCATTAATCTTCTGCAACATGCAAGACAAACCCTAGCCACCATTGCTATTTTGCTGTAAATTAACATCCAGGTTAGGATATATATCTTCTGCAGATAGGAGTAAAAAAAAAAAAGAAGAAGAAGAAAAAGAAGAAGAAGAAGAAGAAGAAAAATAATGATGAGGTGTTGGCGGGTGTTAGGGAGATAGTTGAAGTTTTAACTCACGTTAGAGTGTGGTTACCCATTTTAAGTGCAACGGAACAATTACCAAGTAGATTAAACATTTTCAAGTTAAACACATCAAACAAAAGTGCGGAAAATAAAGAACACAACCATATACATGATTCGGCTAAATCCACTTTTACCCTACATCTATGAGACTTTGTCCATATCGAACCAATCCACTAAGTTAAAAACATATTACAAGATATAATTTAAAGTTGATCTAAGTTACAGTAAAAAAAACTCATTATTCAACTTTACACTTAGCACCACACTCTGAATCTTTAACGTGTAGCAACTCTTTTTGGTCTTCTTCATATTGGGAACACACACGTGAATAGCTTGTAAACCAGTAAGCTTCAAGCACCGACACAACGCACTAACATCAGCAAAGGAACCATGTTCCAAGAGCCATCAATAACGTGTTTGATATGGTGAAGTTTTGGCATAAAACATGGAAATGAACCTTGAACCTTAAGAAAGAAAAATACTCTAAGAGAATCAGAGTACAATGAAATAAAATGTCAAAAGGTTAGATTCATACACGCAAGAAAGGATATTATATAATGAAGGATTTCTTGCTCAACAATATAGTGCTAAGTCAGCCAACAAGGGACTGACCAATGTTTGTCTAAATAAGAAAAGTTTTCCATCTTTTGGTTTGGACCACAAAACAAATCGAGAAAAGAGGTTTATTCCCTAGGACCATTTGAGGATGTTATGACACATGTAAAAAGGTCCTAAAAAGTGAGAGACAAAGTTAGACAATATCTTTTTCACTTTATCAGATATGCAACTCGTGCTGGGTTGCAAATATCTTAAGCAAGAGTATTTGTTGTGCACACAAACTCTAAACGAAACAAGTTAAGACTCAAATCTAATAATCAGTGTGCATGCAGATCATATGTGCACATATACAATTCATAAGTTTGACAAATATGAGTTTTCCACAGCGGGCAATCTTCATGTGGATTGTTTGAGATGAGTTTCCTGGGAGGGTTGTTGTTTTTGGGTTCCTACTATCAACTACGAATGGTGGTGGAGTGAATAGCTATGGTGTGGTGATGGTGGACTTGAAGGTGAGAGGAAGATACAATAGAACCTCTCTATAATCATAATGTTGGGACTAACTAAATTTATTATTATGAGGAGGTTATAATTTAATAGAGGTTTAGCTACAAGAATGTAACACCCACATTGAGGTAAGTTAGTTATGTTTTTATGCCTTTAATTCCTTGAGTTTTTTTTGTTTTAAGATGGAAGATTGAAAATTTGGGAAGTACAGACTTCGCCGCGGCCTAGGAAGTTTTTAGTCGCGGCAACAAACTCTTTGCCCAAAACGTGTTCTAGAATTTGCAGGCTTCGCCATGGCGAAGAAGAATTTTGCCGCGGCGATGTATGCTTTGGAATGCTTCGCCAAGGTGAAGAAAAGGTTTCGTTGGGGCAAAGAACTGATTGGAAATCTTGAGAAAATTCTAGACAAAATTTCCTTAAGAGAAAAATGACCATTCTACCCCTAATTAGTTGTAAATGTGGGGAGTGAAAAGTAAGAAAATTTCATGGAGAATGCAATGAAGGTGAGGGCATTCTTGTAAATGACTAAAGGGCAAAGATAAAATTTCCAAGAAAGTGTAAGGGAAAAATGGGAAAGTATGCATATTAATATGAGATATTAAGAATTCAAGAATACAAACCCTATCATTCTCTACTCCCTCACACGCCACTCTTATTTTCAATTCTCTCAATTCCTTCATCAAATTTTCAAGGTATTTTAGAGGACTTTTAGTTGGATTTTTTGTAGAGATTCAATCCTAAGCATCCTAAGGTAAGAATTCTTGTAAATAGATGTGAGATTAATTGTTAAAGTGTTGAATTCTTATAGTTTATATGCTTAGGGTTTTAGAGAAAGAGGAAGTCTACCAAAGAGAGAGATTCTAGTGTGAAACTACCCAAGTTCAAGGTAAGTAAATCCAACCTTAGCCCCTCATTTGAGCAATACTTAATTAGAGTATTTCCTTGTTTGTATATGCTTGAATATTGAGAACTAATGATGAATTTGAAGTTGAGTGTTGGTTATAACTCCACCATGAGAAGTAGTGTTTAGTATGAGATGAATGGGTGGAAGTTTGAAGAAATTATGAAAAAGTTGAAGTAGAATTTTGAAGTGTGAATTTCCTGGACAGGTTTAAGGTTAATTGTAGATACTTGTGCTCCAAATTTTGGTAGCTAGAAAAAGAGATAGAAGTGTAGCTAATCTAGTGCTTATTTGTGCATACCACTTGTTTGATGAAATTCCAAAGTGAAGTGCATGTATGGTTATGATAGTATAATAATTTGTAATGAGTGTGTAGATGGTAGAGAAAGTAGAAAATGACATGTTTACATGCCATATTGCATCTTTGCATTTCATTAAGAATTGAAAAAGAATAATCATAAGAATCCATCTACATGCATACATGCATACAAGCATACTAAAGAACAAAGAGAAAGAAAGAAAAGTGCTAAAGAAAAGAAAAGAAAGGTTGCGATGGGAAACCCATGGGTGACAAGAAGAAGAATATTTCTACATGCATGTCGCCTTCAGTGAGCTGCCTAAGAATAAGAAGAAGAATTTGTACGGCCCATAAGAGTGTATGTGGATAAGGGCTATACCCAGAAGAATATACCTACATGCACGCCGCCTTTAATGAGTGGCCTAAGAAGAAAAAGAAATTGTATAGTCCGTAAGAGTGCATGTAGATGAGGAATGTACTCACTCACACGGCCAAGGTTCCGAATCTATGCATCAACCGAGTCTGATCGGCAAAGAATAAGAAAGAATAAGCAAGAAAATAAAATAAAAGAAAAGAAAGAAAGAATAGAAAGAATAGAACAGAAAGAAAGAAGAGAAATAGAAAGAAAGAAACATAGAAAAGAGAAAGAAAACAGAATAAGAAACAGAAGAGTAGAAAGAAAATGCATCTCTATGCATTTGTGCATTTGCATCATACCTATGCATGATACCATGATTTCTATCATGGGTAGTGAGAAATTAGGATAAAGAAAGAATAGAGAGAATTAGAATAAAGAAAGAACAAAGAAAGTTAGAACGAAAGAACAGTGAGAACTAGAAATTGTGAAAGAATAGAGAAAGAAAAAGAAAGAATCGAGAAGAAGAAAAAGAGTAATGTAAGGAAAGAAATTCAGAAGCTGAACAACGGAAAGAGAGGAGTAGATTAGTGGGTTTACTTACTGAGCAACTAGTGCTCACCCCGTTATTTCTAAATATTTTTGTAGGAAATAGGTGAGAAAATGTCGGATGGACCTCGAGAAGCGAAGAGAAATGGCACTACTGTCCACTGTTTTTAAGTTATTGTCACGATCGGTGGCTATCCTCTATCTTGCCACCTTCAGGCTCAAGGGCTTTCCCCACGCGCTGGACACATCTAAGGTATTGTCTGCTATGGGTCATTCTGGCCACGTCTCCTTCGGGCCCTTACTTTTTTGCTACGCTTCATGGTCTTTTTCCCACCTTGCGAATGCCTCCCCCATGGTTTGACTTATACCTTGGCCAATTAACATGAGTACCATTGGGTTCAAGTCATGGGGGAGGCGTTCGCAAGGTGGAAAAAAGACCACGAAGCGAAGCAAAGCCGTGAGGGTCTGAAGGAGGCATGACTAGAAGAACCCATAGCGGACAATACCTTGGACGTGTCTGGCGTGTGAGGAAAGCTCTTGAGCCCGAAGGTGGCAAGATAGAGGATAGCCCCCGATCATGACAATAAAAAGGCATTAGCCCAATGGTACTCATGTTACTTGGCCAACGTATAAGTCCAGGGTTCAAGTCATGGGGAAGGTGTTCGCAAGATGGAAAAAGACCATGAAGCGAAGCAAAGCTGTGAGGGTCTGAAGGAGACGTGGCTAGAAGGACCCATAGCGGACAATACCTTGGATGTGTCCAGCATGCGGGGAAAGCCCTTGAGCCAAAGATGGCAAGATAGAGGATAACCCCCAGTCGTGACATGCAACTTGTGCCAAGTTGAGAATGTCTGATGTGAGTGTATGAGTACATAACTGTTATACACACACTCAACATGAACAAGCCAAAAACGTAAGTTTGGCATACCTATGCACACACACAATTGTTGTGCACACATGCAACATAAATTTGACAAAAATATTCTACATGCACCTTCAAGAAGTCCATTCTCATCAATTTCTCTTATCATGTTACTGATTGTCTTCACGATATTTGCCACCCCCTTTTCTTCCATGAAAACACTTGCTTTAACAGTCACGTCACGAGAATAAACACAGTTGCCTAAATAATTTTCAGGGAGTGAAGGATCCAAACAGTTTCTACAATCCACTGGAAACAAAAAGTGAACGTTTCTATTACCTTCTATCGCACTTGCTTTCACGACACAAACCAAAATATACGCATACGTAACCACAAAAGTCAATAAATGAAGCTGTTTTGTCGATTTTATTTCTTCAACTTTGGACAATATCTTTTCTTTGAGTTTCTTTATTTCGTCACGATTAAGCTTAAACGTGGCTCGAACTGAGTTACGATTCAATCCAAAATCTTCCAACAGCTTCACACTTCATTGGTTGAGTTCCAGAATATCGGACCCCCCTTGAAATGAAACCAATTCTTCAAGTACATCATGTAAAGTCTAGTTGGATCTTTGACAACCGTTTGATAAATGAATGGGGTAAGTTCTGGCGACAAAGAAGGGTTTGTCCAGTTGTGCGCACAGATAAGCCCTGGATTTCATAAAAGCGATTGCAGCCTCGCCATCCATAACTGCATGGTGTGTAGCCATGCCAATACAAAACCCTTGATTGGGAAACAAGGTTATTTGTACAGTTAGAGCTGGTCAAGGACCAGTCCCAAGCAGGCCCAGGCTTGGGCCCAGGACCAATCCCAGGCCCATGAGCAATATTAGGACCCAGACCGGTCCTAAGACCGGTCTTATGGGCCTGGATAATTTCTTTTCCCCCTTGATTTTTTTTTTATATTTTAGGGGTGAAATAAAATTTTATAAGGGGTTTTTAGTATTTTTTAGGGGTAGATTAGTAAGCTTCTAAAAATTTAATTAATTTTAAAAAATAATAAATTAATTAATAGTTAATTTTAATTTTTAACATAAATGTAATATTCACATTTCACACATTCACGCTTCACAAATAAACAATTAAATATTTTTTTTATTAAATTATTCATCTTCATCGTCAACAATATTTACATCATTCAAATCTGTATTCCTAAAGAGTTTGAGTAGTTCGGGATCTTCAGGGTGCTGTTGTAGTCTTCTTTTTGCATGAGTCCAATCCCGTAAACACATTATCACTTCAATCATCTCATCGGTTAAAGACCATCTTCTGTCTTCAACAATCCGACCACTCGTGGAAAATGTTGACTCGAATGTAATTGTAGAAACCGGCACATATAAAATGTCATGTGCCATTTGGGCTACAATGGGGAATCGACTTTCATGTTGGTTCCACCATTGAAGAATATCCATGTCATGTTGCTCCTTCATCATCATAAAGGACAGGTCTACTTGTAGGTAGCGATTCAGCTCATTTGGTCCATGTATGTACGAGCTGGAGCTGTTACTTCCACCATGTTCCACATACGTCCACTTGCTCAATCCTTGATGGAGGGCTACATCAAGGTCCTAATCCTCTCTCCTGAATGTTCTACTTCCACTTCCATTGTACCTGTTCTCATATAAAGAAAAAAGACTATCCAATTTTTGTTTAAAGTCAGTCAAATAAGACGTATAATCATGTCCTAAATGCTGGCTTAACTCAGTAATTATACAGTTAACTACGTGTAATTTAAACCTAGGATCTAGAACAAGGCCTAATCCATATAAGAATGAAATATCTAACCAATATTTCTCATATTTTTCTTTCATCTTTAAAAGAATTTCCCTTAAAACGTTATTATATCTATATTTAGCAAAAGTTTTAGCAATTTGAAGTAAAATATCTAACGCTAAATTAGTGGTCGGATAATAAATACCACTTAATGTAATAGTAGCATCATAAAAATTTTGAAGAAATGAATAAAAAAGTTCACAAACCGCCCAATCATCATAGTTGACAACTTCCTCTGGATAGTGCTTCTGGTTGACGAAATCTGTAATTTGTTTTGATGTTGGCAAAGCTTTTTCCAACATCAAGTAGGTGGAATTCCAACGGATAGGCATGTATGTACATAACTTCAAAGGTCGAACCGATGGATCCTCTTGCTTACAATATTTGACGTACTCCTACCATCTTTTATTGCTACTGCCGACGATAAATCCGATAGCCGTATGCACCCTTTCCATCTTCGAATGTATAGCATCTAAACATGCTTTAACTATCAAATTGATGATGTGGCAAGCACATCTTTGGTGAAAAAATTTGTCTTCACCACGTGGATCCAATCTATTTTCAAATAAAGAGATTGTCGCGGTGTTAGCAGCTGCATTATCAAGCATTAGCGCTACAACTCTATCAGTTAATAAATATTCTTGCAAAACTTCAAGAATTGTAAAATAAATAGTTTCAGCACTATGTTTTTCATATAATGGTTTAAAACCCATCAATTTTTGTTGTAAACCCCAATTATGATCTAAGAAATGTATTGTGACAGTTAAAAAATCGGTTTTTGATCTACAAGCCCATATGTCTGATGTAAGTGCAACAGATATATTCCTAAAATTTTGAAATTCGTTTTTAAGTTTATTATTTATTTTTTATAAAGTTTTAGTATATCTCTTTTACTTGTACTTCTACTAACAGGGGTATATGCTGGACAAAATGCAGTTTTAATCATGTGAATAAAATAAGGATTTTCAGATAAACAAATGGGAGAGTCCGTAGCAACTATGAATCTTGCTATTTCCTCTCATGCAACATGTACATTGTATTGCCATGTTGAGAGAGTTGAGGATTGTGGATTAAAATTAAGTTGAGTTTGAATTTGTCTACCTGATCTGCTTGAAGATGTATCGGGCAACTGCATTATTTAGGGGTGCTTCTTCTCTACATGTCATTGCATCATCGAAGTCCCCTTCTCAACGCCAATAATGGTTCTACAGAAATTACATATCCCACACGATTCTTCCCCCTCCTCATTTGTCTTTGGCCATTTTGATTTGGTGAATTGTCGCCATACATTGGACACGACCCTCTTTGACGGTCGGGGGGGTTGGGTTATGCCTATGCCCGTTGACTCGCAGCTCGCATGTGTTTGGCTACACCTCGTCCCGACCGAATGTGGTTGTGGAATTGCAGCTGCTGCCTCTGGAGGAAAGGGTGAAAATGGATTGACCCCTTCCATTTCTTCGGTGGATGGAACGTAAAACTCATTTGGGGATGATCCTCCGAATGCATCATTTCGGGAATCCATTATGAATTTATGATAAAATAATAAATAATTAAAATGAAAAGAAATTAAATAAAAATATGAATAAGAGATGATATTAAAAAAATAGAAAAAATTGAATAATATAAATAAATAATATGAATAAATTATAAATATAATTTGAATGAGAATTTAATTGGAGATTTGGAGTAGAGAGATTGAGAGATTGAGTGGTGTGGAAAAAATGAAAGATTTTAGGATTATTTATAGTGTAATTGGGGATTTTTTTTATTCTTGTAACTGTTGGCTGCTGCCAGTGCCAACGGTTATAAAAAAAAAGTAAATTTTTTTTTTTTAATAACTTTTGTAAAATATCATTTTAACCCCTATAATTTATGTTTTTTTCAAAATTTATAAAGGGTTTTATATAATTGTACAAAAGACTAAAAGGAAAAAATGTAAAAAAATTTGAGCCCGACCTTGGGACCAGAGGAGGGCCCAGTGGAGGGACCGGGCCCTCCTCCTTAGGCTTGGTCCCTTTTGGGACCAAGCCTTCTAGGACCAGTCCTAAGATCGGGTTTTTGGGCTGGGTTTTTAGACCCAGTCCCAAATGCCCACCTCTATGTACAGCCATGCTTGATGCGCTCTCGTCAGATAACAATAACTATGGTATTAAATGACGTGACTCGGGAGACTTACAAATTTCTTCGCTGGAGAGACGGTTAGAGTCTAGGCTAGATTTGACGATGAGGAGAGAAACGGTGTCGACTGGTGCGTAGGAGATGGTAGGTATACAGGCATGTGGAGGCCATGTGATTTTGCCAGTGAGAGGGAGATAGTGAAGAAGAGTGAGAGAGAGTGAATGTTTGAGTTTAGGAAGGATGTCCGAGTTGAAGTGAAGAAGAGTTGAGTCAGTGAGCTGATAAAAGAACAGAGGCTCCATTGAAGGAAATTTGAGCCAGACTGCATCAAAGAAAGTGAGAGGAAGAGAGATGTGGGTGGGAGAGTTGGGTGAGTTGATAAACGGGCTAGCTCAAGAAGTTTCAAGTATCTTCACAATTGAATTATGTGTGATAGAATTTGAGGTGGGTTTGACTCCTTACTCAATAAGGCCTTGTTGAATGAGAGGATTGGGAGGATTACCTCTTATAAACCAATAGGCTTGAGCGTGCCTAGTCGGTGTAAATGTTGGGTCGTGCTTGTTGATGGAGGTAGTTGTTGGCTCTAACTCCTCACCCGTTGGTCAAGCACTCAGCTCAACTAAACTTGGGCTCTGATACCATGATAGAATTTGAGGTGGGCCTGACTCCTCACCTAATAAGGTTTTGTTGACTGAGAGGATTACCTCTTATAAACTAGTAAGTTTGAACGTGCCTAGTCGGTGTGGGACTCCAACAATGTGAAGCCATGGTGAAAGAGAGTCAAAGAAAACTAGTTTCCAACTCAATGTATTATGTCCTGATCATCTCTGTTTTGAGTTGAAAGTCTATAAATAAAGACTATAATTAAAAACAATTCTTAATTATTTATTTAATTAGAAGATAATCCGCATTTAATACAGGGGAACAACCTTAAAGAAAATTAAACTCTTCGTCTCATTGACTTCTGCAAGTTATCCACTTGACATCTTCAGAAGATAGAAGAAAAAGCAAGGTATGATGAGTTTGTTTATGGAATCGTAGTATGAATTAATGGCGGGGTGAATTAATAGTGATGGTGGTGATGGTGGAGTTGAAGATGATGAGGGTTCACTTGCGAAAAAATAATCAGCATATTTTAGATAAGATTTGTGTTGTCTAATTTATGTACTAAAAGTGAAGAAGTAAGTGGTAGCAATGATTTTGATAGAATTGAGGTGAGTCTGACTCTCTACCTAATAAGTCCTTGTTAAATGGGAGGATTATCCCATTTATAAACCAGCGGGGTGGGACTCCAACACTCCTCTTACGGTCAAGCCCATATGTTGGGTCATGTCGGTTGATGGAGTAGTTATTAGTTTTAACTCCTCAAGCTAGTCAAGTACTCAGCTCAAATGAATCTGGGCTCTGAACTATGATAGAATTGAGGTGAGCCTAAATCCTCACCCATAAGTTCTTGTGAATGAGAGAATTACCACTCTTATAAACCAGTAGACTGAGCGTATCAATCGGTGTTGATCTGACTTCAACATATTTCTTTTTGAATTTGGCATGAGATTGATATTTAATCGACAGAGAAAGTGTGATTTAATGATTGATTTTTGAAGTGAGCATTGATTACACATACAATTTAATTTTGTAGGTGATGTTTTCCGATTTAACTTTGGATTAACGAAATATCACCTTGTTTGATTAAATAACAAAAAAAAAAAATCTTTGAATAATATAGCTAAACGGTGCGCTAATGGTAGAGAGTAATGTATAAAATGTATGAACAAAAACTACTATAGAATAATAATGCTCAAATATGTTATAAAATTCAGCTAATTAGTAAAGAATATACCGTATAAAATGAGTGGTGTATATGTGCAAACTATTAATACAAAATCTTGTATGCTAATTGATATAGCACAATTCTTTTATTGCCGCAGCATTTATCTATAAATTAGTACTTAATATAGATAATAAAGAATTATGTTAATAAACGGTGAAGAGGGGAGGAATAGATAATTATTGTAATGTAAAGACAGGTGAGTATGCTATATTAAACCTGTAGGGTGTTATTTGTAATCCCAAAACTCAAGGGAGGTGAGGGATAATAACCCTATAGAAATTATTTACATAAAAGACAAATAAAAATAGTACAATGTTATATGGATATCGCATACTTCAAAGATCCTGTAAACCAGAAACAAACAGACTTGAAAATCTCCATTCATGGCTGCTCAATACCATTCCAATTTCAAGGCCATTTCAATCTCCACTCTCAACATAGCAATTGCTCCAGTTCTATCAATAGATATTATCTCTTTCTTCTTTGGTCTTCCCCACCCGTAATCAATCCATAAAGCTTGAATCGGTGACCCAGCAATACTAATCCTTTCTTCTCCTTTTCCCCAAACCCATCAACTTTTCTAAACTCTCTTCTGCACCTTCAAAAAGTCCCTTCTCATCAATTCTCTTATCGTGTTACGATTTTCTCTGCAAATTTGCAACTCCATGTTCTCCATGAAAACACTTGCTTTTAGAATCTCCAATTCAACGCCATTTCAGTATCCACTCTCCCTCATAGGAGTTGCTCGTTTTATCAATCCACAATATTCTACTTTCTATGTCTTCCCCACCCGAAATCAACTCCATAAAACTTGGAAAATTTAAGCAATTTTGAATAAAATACCAAAAGAAGGATAAGGAGGAAAATTCGTTTACGTAACATCCTTCTCCTCTATATATATTGAGAATTTATTTTCTAATCGTAATATGTAACACTTCTTCCTATTTCAAGGATTAGTTGCCCTCCAACATAAATTGATAATTAACCATTAGATTCAAGTGTAACGTTAGCATGTATTAATTGTTATAGATTTTATCAATTTAAGACAAAATTCAAGTTACTAACTATATATTATTCAATCTGGTTATTTAGTTAATTTTGCTCTTGCTCACTAAAACTACTATATTGATTGTTAGACGTAATTACTTTTTATGAGAACGAATTAAGATAAATCACTGTTTTTTGTTATTTTCTACTTTCATTATTGTGTGTTTTGGCAGCAATTTCAACAAATTCCACCACAACAATGCAAACAACTAAATATCAAAGAAGGTGGGGGATTCTGTTGAAGGCCTAAGCAAGTTTATGACAAATTTGTTCAAAAATAAACCAAAAAAGGGTAGAAAGGGAAATGTCTTTACTTGAACAGAAATTAAAATTAACAGCAGAACTTGTCAATTTAGGCTATTAATTTTCCAATACATCACTCTTTCTTGTATGCATATTTCGTAAGGGAAAAAGGAGGCATTGGATCTGAACTCTAATGTCAGTATTTATATAATAAAAAATGCTTAGGTAGAAAATAGTGGAGAGAAGTCGGTGAATCAAAAAAGTTAAGACAAAAGTCAATAATGTCAACAGCATAAGGCAATGTCTGAGATTCTTTTGAGTATTGCCTTGTTCCTACATTAGCAACCAAGGTGACATGAATTTAAAGAAGACACGATGCAGAAACAACAAATTTCAGCACAAGAGAAGGAAGAACTAAAATGGGAAATCCACATGTTCTGGTTATACCTTATCCATCACAAGGACATGTAATTCCTATGATGAAACTTTCACAATGTTTAGTGAAACAAGGGTGCAGGATTACTTTTGTAAATACAGAGTATAATCACAAGCAGCTCATGAAAGCATCGGCTATGAAGGATGGTACAGGGAATGGAATTCGTCTTGGTTCGGTTTCAGATGGCCTAGAATCCTCAGAGGAGAGAAAACAGCCAGAGAAAGTAATGAAAGCAATCATGCAGGTTATGCCACAGAAAGTGGAGGAGCTCATTGATCAAGTTAATGAATTGCGACGAAGAGATCGCTTGTGTCCTAGCAGATTACAATGTTGGATGGGCCCTGGGAATTGCGACAAGAAGGGCATCAGGCGAGCTGCATTCCGGCCTAAGCAGCGACACTGATGGTCTTGGTGTTGAGCATTCAGAAGCTGGTGTGACGGAATAATAGATAAAGATGGTGATATCCTCAATACTAATTCTTGCTTGTTCACATAAGTTTTATAATTTTTTTATCAGATGAAGCTTACTTAGAACTCTGCAAATATTGAAAAAAACTGAAACAAGAAGTTTTAAGTCTTTTGCATTTGCTTTGCAGGAACACCGACTAAAAAGCAGATGATTAAGTTATCACCAAACATGCCTGCCATGAACACAGCAGACTTCATGTGGACTTGTACTGGAAACATGAACTTGCAGAAAAAATATTTTCAAAAATACTATAACAAACACTAGAGCGATGAAACTGACAAACTGGCTGCTTTGCAACTCAGCTTATGATCTGAACCTGCAGCATTTACCATGGCTCCAGAGATACTACCGATAGGCCCTATTTTTGCCGGCAACCCACAGGAGAATCAGCAGGAAATTTCTGGGCAGAGGACTTTATTGTTTGAAATGGCTCGACCAGCAGCCACCTCAATCAGGCATATAGTGCATTTGGCAGTTCCACCTTTTTAGAACAAACCCAATTCCATGAATGCATTGGGGCTTGAACTCTCCAACAGACCTTTCCTGGGGGTTGTGCGCCCCGGTATTACATATGCAGTAGATGATGCCTACCCAAAAGGATTTCGACACAGAGTCGGTGGTCGTGGCAAGATAGTTGATTGGGCACCTCAGCTGAAGATCCTGGAATCCTTCAGTTGCTTGCTTTATAATTCATTGCGGTTGGAATCAACAATGAAGCTTAAGCAGTGGGTACCTGAACGAAATAGAGAAGCAACAGGAACAAATAATAATAATTAAACAAAACAAACAGTAAACAAAGAATGTAATACGCGCGATTTACCCTGGTTCACCCAATGTAGGCTACGGCCAGCTGAGTCAATATATTGCATATGCCTCACTTCTCTCGTTTACAATGAATGAATTGTTCTCACACCATAACAAGAGAAAAGTATGTTTTATACTAGGTTTAAGAGATTAAACCTAGTTTACAAGAATTCCTATTCCTAAGCCCAACCCAAAAAGGAATTAATAACTTAAAAGGAATCCTACAGCGGTAACATGGAAAAGCCCAAAACCGCCTACGGGCTGGGGCAGCGGGACCCCCGAGTGTGTCTCCGTTACCCATTAATGCTGAAGTAGTCGACAACTCCAACATTCTCCCACTGGCGAATACTTCACACAATGAAGGCCTACCCGTCAACACACCATGTAAACTTTGCTAAGCTCACAGCCTTGGTAAGAAAATCTGCAGCATTAACAAGTGTATCAACCTTCTCTAACAACACCAATTTTTCCTCCACCTTTTCTGATGAAATGGTATTGTATGTCAATGTGTTTTGATCGCGAATGAAAGGCAGGATTCTTGGCTAAGTAAATAGCCCCTTGATTATCACATCCAATCTTCACAGCATAAGCTTGAAACCAAGCTCTAAACTCAATCTTCGAAGCCACATAGCTTCCTTCCAGCAGTGGTCAATGCCATGTATTCGCCTCAGTCGATGACAAAGCCACAGTACTTTGCCTTTTACTCATCAACAAACAGCAGCACCAAATAAAGAGAATAATACCCACGTGGAACGCCTACTATCGAGATCACCCTCCCAATCAGCATCCACAAAACCTATCACATCTAACTCATCCTCAGTCGCCATGCCTCCATAAACAATGATAAATCCGGGTCCCACGAAGATATCTAAGAACCCTCTTACAGCACTCCAATGCTCCTTACCAGGATTTGACATAAAGCGACTCAAAACTCCCACGCTTGTGCAATATCGGGACGTGTGCATACCATGGCATACATCAAACTACCTACAGCACTGCATTAGGCACATGTGTCATTTCTTCAGCATCTCCTCAGACTTAGGACACTGATCGGTAGACAATTTCACTCCCAAAGTCATAGGAGTCTTCACAGGTTTGCAGTACCATGTTAAATTTCTTAAACCTCCTCGATGTACTTTCTCTGCCCTAACCACAATTTACAACTCTGACGATCTCTATTAATTTGCATACCCAAAATAAAATTTGCAGCCCCAAGATCCTTCATGTCAAATTGTGCAGCCAACAAACCCTTCACAGAATTATCAACTCCTTGCTATTCCCTATCAGCAAATAATCATCTACATATAAGGTTAAAATAACAAAGACATTTTCTAACCTTTTATTACACACAGTGATCCACGTTGCTGCGGCTAAAACCATGCTGAAGAACATAGGAGTCGAAATTTTGGTACCAATCTTGGTGATTGTTTAAGCCCATACAGAGACTTCTTCAACCTACACACCAAGTCTTCCTTCCCTTACATACAAACCCTCAGGTGCCTCATGTAAATTTCCTCCTCAAATCTCCATGTAGAAATGCCGTCTTTACATCAAGTTGTTCAATTTCAAGATCAAGCGCAGCAGCAATAGATAGAACATACCTGATTGATGTTAACTTGGCCACAGGAGAGAAAATCTCACCATAATCAACACCCTCAATCTGCGAGAATCCCTTTGCAACGGTCTCGCCTTGTACTTGCAATGTCCCATCTACCTGCAACTTCTTTTGAACACCCACTTGCAACCAATTGCCTTTCTATCCTTAGGCAATTTACATAGGATCCATGTATTATTCTTGTCCAGTGACTGCATCTCATCATTCATCGCAACCTCCCACAGATGCATCTTCCATGGCTCTTGCTTCATTTACTTCCTAGGTCATCACCAATCACATTCAAAGCATGAATCCACTCAATGCACTTAGAGAGAAACGAACTGGTGCCTTTCTAAATCTTGTAGATCTCCTCAAAGTTGATGGCACCACAACTTCATCATCAGAATCATCCTCAAAATCATCCACAAAACCCTCATTAGCCACACTATCAAGTTTATCTTCATGGTCAGATTCTACAGACTCTAAATTTTCAGTCTCTGCAGCAACATTTGGAGTCATCTCCCCTCTTGTCTACTGTAGTCACATCAAACTGAATTTTCTTTGACTGCTCAAGATCTTCAAGAGTTCCCACACGTTGTTTTACCTCTCTAAAGATTACATCTCTGCTGATATAAGCTTCTACTCACAGGATTCCAACTTGTATCCCTTGATGCCATCCTTGAACCCCACAAACTTGCACTTCTCAGATTTACTGTCAAGCTTGCTTCTCTTCTCCTTTGGTACATGCACATCGCATCACAACCAAAAACGAAAAAAGATATTAGGTTTCTACCATACAAAGCTTCATATGGCGTCATGTCTTTAATAGAAGAAGTGGGAGACCGATTCTTCAAATAAACAGCCATCGCTGTAGCTTCTGCCCAAAATTCAGACCCCAAATCTGTCGTATTCAGCATGCATCTAGTCTCCAACAGTGACGATTGAGACGTCAGCCACTCCATTTTGTTGAGGCGTGTAAGGTGTAGTTTTCTGCCTTGCAATTCCATGTGTCGCACAAAATTGCTCAAACTACCAGAGCAAAACTCACCGCATTATCAGTTCGCAAAGCTAATCTTCCTGTCAAACTGATTCTCAACTAAGGCTTTAAATTCCCGAAATCTCAAAGGCCTCAGACTTGCTGCGCATAAAATAAACCCAACAGTATCTAGAAAAATCATCAATGAAAGATACATAATACCTGGATTTACCAACAGATTCCACTGGAGTGGGCCTAAAAACGTCACTATGAATTAACTCCAGTATATTTGTTGCTCTCGTGCCTGTCGATTAAAACTAACCGATTTGCTTGCCTTGTAAACATTCCTCGCAAAACCCAAAACTCATGGAACGTTAGGAATACCTTCAGCCATATCTGAGTCACCAAAGTAGACAAAGCCGACTCTCCAATGTGTCCCATTCGCTGATGCCACAATGTTGCAGAATCAATTTCTTTTTCAGCCTCCTTTTCCGAAACATAACACCCAAAAGGAATTTCTTACAACTGATGCTTGCAGCCTGTATAGTGTACCATGCGAACTCCTCGTGCAATAACCATAGATCCCGAGTCATTACAGGATGTTCTGTCAAAATTAAATACTATACCTGCGTCAGCCATTGTTCCAACAGAGAGCAGATTTCTACTCATACAGGGATGTGCATCACTTCAGGGAGCGTCCCACTGAACCATCATGCAACCTTAGCCTGATTTTCCGCGGCCAATAATCTTCACAGCAGTATCATCTCCTAACAGAACGTTTCCTCCATTGTATGTCTCATACTCACAAAACCATCCTTGTGAGGTGTCCTATGGAAAGACGCAACAGTATCAACATACCAAACCGATTGGTCTGATCCAGCCATACATGCAGCAGCCACATACATATCACCATTTGATCCCGTTTGTACGAAGTTTCAGCTTCCTTCCCCTTCACTGGTTGTTTCTGCAGTCTTTCTTAAAATGCCCAAATTCCTGACATCTCCAGCATTTAATCTTACTTATCCTTGCTCTAGATCTACCTCGCGACTTCCCCTGTCGCCAGACTTTAGAATCATCTAAGGTTTCGTCCCCTAGAGTTTAACGATCCCTGGACGAACCCTCTGAACCTCTTCGCCGCAATCCTCTGCCAACATGTAGAACATACAGATTCCCACGACATCTGTGTCAATCCTCCACACCAATCGCAACAACAGATTATCCCACGTATCAGGCAGCGAGCATAACAGTGTTACCACTTTCTCAGATTGGTGAGTGTACATCCCTAGCCAGCAGTTGATTCACCAGAGTATTAAACTCATCCAGTGTGCAGCAGAGAATCCCATCATGCATACGAAGATTGTACAGTTTCTTGCGACGAACAGCACGTTCACCAAAGACTTACTCAGAACATATTTTCCAGCTTCTGCCATAAACCCTAGCCGTATCCTGATCCATCACATTCGTTAGAACAGAGTCCTCAAGACAGATACGAATCAAACCCCTGGCTTTCCGATCCATCTTGTCCCATTCAGCAAGTGCGGCACGATCAGTCGCTGATAATTTCCTTCAGCAGGTTTAGACCCAAGTGTACTTGACACTCCAATTCCAGACGTTTCACCGTTGTAACAACGGCAGTCCCGACTGTTGGCCTATCATTCACAATTGCACCCCCAGGTCCCTATCAACGAGTAGATCCTCCATCCGCAGTTTCCAGAGCTCGAAGCGTTTGCCGTCGAACTTCTCAATCCAACCTTTGTCCGTCATCTTATATCAGACTAACAGAACCTTGCTCTGATACCAATTGAACGAAATAGAGAAGCAACAGGAACAAAATAATATAATTAAACAAAACAAACAGTAAACAAAGAATGTAATCGCGCGATTTACCCTGGTTCACCCAATGTAGGCTACGTCCAGCTGAGTCAATATTATTGCAATATGCCTCACTTCTCTCGTTTACAATGAATGAATTGTTCTCACACACATAACAAGAGAAAAAGTAGTTATATACTAGGTTTAAGAGATTAAACCTAGTTTACAAGAATTCCTATCCTAAGCCCAACCAAAAAGGAATTAATAATACTAAAAGGAATCCTACAGCGATTATACATGGAAAAGCCCAAAACCGCCTACGGGCTCGGGGGTAGCGGGACCCCCGAGTGCGTCTCGTTACCCATTAATGTGAAGTAGTCGACAACTCCAACAGTACCTCTCTTGTGCTGGCCTTACATTGTTGATCAGTTCCACAACGAAAGCTACATTTGCGATACGTGGAAGGGAGGATTAAGGTTAAATAGAGATGAAAGAGGGATCATTACACCAGAAGAAATTAAAACTAAAGTGGAGGAAATGGTGGGAAATGGAAATATAGTGAAGTGCTTAGGTCTCAAGGAATTGGTCATGAGTAGCATCAAAGAAGGTGGGAGCTCCTACAACAATTTAATGAATTTCATTCTATGGTTGAAATCATAGATCATTATATTAGTTATTGCTATTCTGAGGAGGAATAATCTGTGCCAATTTCAGAGGAGAAACAATTCAAATTTTGTTTTGTTTTTTTGTTTTTTTTCTGCTTTTGGTGAGCCGAAATAAAATTTCATTATCAATCTGGGATCCTTTACGGTTTTTACTTGACATGTCACTCTGCAATGGCATTTTTGATATCTCAAATCAAATCAGCTATTGCTCCGCGTATCTCGGAATATCAAAAAACAAATGATGTTCGATAAACGAGAATGAAATAAATTAGTTCATATATCTCTTTTCTAACCCAATTTCCTGACATTTCACTCAAATGCGCATCATTAAGACCTGTTTCCAGGCTGTGGAACTAATAAAAAATTCTGTAGAAGAACAGAGACAAAATTACAGCCCATACCCACATGGCCAACAGGGTATAAAACAGATTAGAACAGAGAAATTCATTAAAAAGGATACTAATTAAGCTCATCCATGTCCCAACTTGGGATTCAAATTAATCATCAGTAAGATCAACAAATTAGGCTTCAGACTCTGATCTCATTGACTTAGATATTACCTAAAAGGCACATTGAATAATAATATAATAAAAAGTTTGTGAACCTGCTTCATCAACAAAATTATGCACGTAAAATATTTAATTGTTGACAATTATCTCAATCATTTATGCAACATCAAACTAATTACATTATTACAAAATAGGGTTAAAGAAATCAAGAATTCAAACTACAGATCCAATCCACCTTAATCATCTCGTTTTTTCAGAGAAAAAAGGTCAAAAGATAAAGACAGAAGGAGGACCAAGCTACACATATGCCTCAATAAGAGACAAGCAGTAACCCAAATGGAGGTTGATAATGAGCATCATCCGGTGCATCAGACGACAGCGAAAAGATAGCTGAGAATGAGATTACATGGGGACCCTCCACAATATTTATAAAACTTGTAATCAACATGAATATATAAGAAGCCAATGCTTGTTCAAAATCAAGCTGGAAAGAGAGAGAAAACTGAAATGACTCGTCCACATATTCTGGTAATACCTTTTCCAGCACAAGGTCATGTAATTTCTTTACTTGAGCTTTCACATTGCTTAGTGAAGCATGGCCTCAGGGTCACGTTTGCAAACACAGATCATACTCACAAGCGGGTCATCAACGCCTTGCAGGAAAAGAACTATGTAGGAGATGATGAAGAAATCCGCCTGGTATCGATTCCAGATGGATTGGAACCCTGGGAGGATAGAAATGATTTAGGCAAGTTATGTGAATCACTTGTAAGGGTGATGCCTGGGAAGCGGAAGGCCATACAAGAGATCAACAACAAAGAGGAAGATGAAAAGATCATTGTGTTGCATTGTGATTGCATGTTGGAATGACCCTGAAAACGGCAAAGAAACTGAAAATTAAAGGGGCTGCGTTTATGCCGATGGCAGTGGCGTCTCTGGCTTGTACTACCATATTCCAAAGCTGATTGATGATGGAATCATTAACAAAGACGGTAAGACACTTAATAAACATTTCTTTTTTCTTGTGTTCTCCCTTCATGATAAGACTAGATTTGTAACATTTGATGAAATTGATTTCCCTTTAACTTATTTTAGGAACTACGACTGGGGAGACATATGATTCAGCTGGGGCGAAACATTCCTACAATCAGCAATGCAAATTTATCTGGAACGTTGGCGACTTAATCACCCAGAGGAAGATTTTCCTACTTATTGAGAAGGGCTCAGAAGGTATACAAATGGAAGCTGACTACCTGATTTGCAACACGACGGATGACCTTGAGCCTGAAGCATTCAACTTGGTTCCGAAAGTTCTTCCAATTGGACCTCTTTTAGCAAGCAACAGACAAGGAAATTCAGAGGATACTTCTGGCCAGAAGACTCAACTTGCTGAGAATGGCTGGATCAACAGCAACCTAACTCAGTCATTTATGTTGCATTTGGCAGCTTCACAGTTTTAGACAAGATCCAATTCCAAGAGCTGGCGCGGGACTTGAACTACCAACAGGACATTCTTAGGGGGTGAGGCCAGATATTACTGATGATGCAAATGAAGCCTACCCAGAAGGCTTTACAGAAAGGGTAGCCAATCGTGGGAAAATGGTGGGTTGGCACTCAGCAGAAGGTTCTGAGTACCCTTCCATTGCCTGTTTCATAAGCCATGTGGTTGGAATTCCACCATGGAAGGAGTAAGCAAGGGCTTCCTTCTTGTGCTGGCCATACTTTGTGACCAGTCATTAATGAGGGCTACATTGCTGATATTTGGAAGGTGGGATTGAAGTTTAAACGACGAAAGTGGGATCATCACACGAGAAGAAATTAAGAGCAAGGGGGATCAAGTGCTTGGTGATGAAAAATTCAAAGCAAAAGCTTTGGAACTCCAGGAATCTGCATTGAAAAGTGTCAAAGAAGGTGGTCTGTCTAACCAGAATTTCAAGAAGTTCTTGAAGGAAGAGCATAGGAACTGGAATAAGATAACTAAGTATTAATGGATCATTTCTCCTCGAACAAATAAACTTGGATTGTTGTGTTGTGAACTGAATGATAGACAGTTTCTAAAATAAATGTATATGTCTATGTCATTAATGCTGATCTCAGGGCTCATTTTGATATTCACCTCCGTTAAGCTGACCTGTTTCCCAGGCAACTGAAAGTTTAAACTCACAGTTTAAAGACAAAAATACAGCCCAAACTACACGCCCAACCAGGTCACGAACAACTTCATCACACACATGTCGCGACTCGCGTTTCAGAATAATTCATTCTTTACTCAGATGCATGCATTGGTTACTGGTTTGGTGCTCCCCGATGAGATGACGAACTTTTACGATATAATATTTTATAACAGCTGAATCTGAGAGAAAGGTTCAACAGATTATTAGGTTAAAACAAGTAAATTATAGCAATAGACAAAAATAAAGTTTAAGAAACCAATAAACCGAAGAATTTAACAATTCAACTCAGTGCTGGCCATTATCGTCTCAACTCATACATGATACATGATACAGATTCTATCCATACTCATATAAGAGTAGCAAATCCAAGCGAAACTCGCTGGAATAGCTCAGATCAACAGATCATAAGAGAAGAAAATGACAAAACAAGACCTGCATTCAGTAGAGACAAGCAGTACCCAGCTGGGGTTTAAATGGCTAATTCTAAGTGATGAAGATAATTGTTATGTGTTTGTAATTTAGGGTATAAACGATATTAACCCTAAAATGCCTTTTTGCATGTTTGAATTTAACGGTGGCTGGAAAAAAAAAATTTCGAGACGTTCTGGGTGGGAAAACTATTTACGCCTTATTGGGTGGGAAATTGTCATTCTCCCAAAGAAAAAAATGTTTTTGCACATGCTTCAGTGCATTTAGCATTAGAACTTTGTTACATTTTTCACCTAAAAGGAATAGCATGGTTTGATTATGTTATCGATTACAATAACTAACGAAAAATAAAATATTCCCTTAATACCAAATAACCAATCATTTAATAGATAAATAAATGTAATCATGAATCCCCAATAACTAGAAATGTTTTAAAAATTCTGAACATTTAATTTCAATATTTCAAGATTCATTCATTGTGACTTTTACTTTTCCAAAATTATTAAGATGACTCATTAATCTAAATGTTTCCACGCATTGAAATATAACAAAGATAACAAAGCTATGTCCCAACTTAGGTTTAGAATAACTAATTATTAGTGAGATCCAGAGAAGAGGAATTTGAGCATTAGCTCCTCGTTCATTAGCCTCAGCCACATAGATGAATTTCTTGAATAAAATTTTTGCAACGGCTGAAGTAGAGGAATAAGTTGAACTAACGGGAATGAGCAATCCATATGTCCTGGTCCTGTAATTCCTTAGCTGCACACGCTCATGTAAATCCTGTAATGGAGATTCACAAGCTTAGCTAAGGATATATGGCCTCAAAGTCACATTTGTGAAGAGGTGCAACGCAAGCGGTCATTAATAGGAAATGTATCACAATTACCAAGACAAATTTAAGCTGAGGTCGATTACAACTATGTACGGAAAAGCAGAGTATATTAGTTATGTATAAAGTGGGTTTGGATAGAACTCAAGCTCAAAAGCTAGCTTAAGAGAGAAGGGAGTCCAACAACTTATATACACCATAACAGTTTACTATTGGGACAATCTGAGACAAATTCAACTTTCTAACACCCTCATTTACACTCGGTGTATAAGGTCGGGTTCCAAACCTATCATCACCCAACCAAAAGGGGGAGAGACTGACTCTGATACCATGATAAAATAGGTTTGGGTAGAACTCACTCCCAAAAACAGCTCAAGGAAGGAGGGGCTCAACCACTTATATCACCATAACAACCCACTATTGGGGCGATGTGGATAAATTCAACTTCTAACAAGATCAAGGCATGGGGAATTTCTAATCGATGGTGGGGGGTCTCCCTACTATTTAATAAAATCTTTTTATTCTCTTCTTTTGAAACTTTATTCAAGTTCAATAGAGACAACCACAATTACCTAAATGGAGGGTCATAGAATATCAATTAGTGCGGAAGGTGACAGTAAAAAATCAATGATACTAACACAAAGGAACACATAAAACCTAGTATAACCAAGTTAGGAGATTGAGCATGGAAAACATACATTCGAGATTAATAACAAAAATAAAATCACACTACACAAAAAGACAAGATATTTACATTGTTTGCCATAACCCGTCTACATCCACGATGAGAGAAATTCACTATAGTTTTTGATGACACAATATACACAATACCATAAGACCCAATACACAATTAATTGAACAAAAACAATCACGGTGTTTAATAACTTACATCAAATACCATATTTCTATTCTCCTAAGAGCAAAAAAATATACTTCAAAGATATAACTAACATACATACAGAAAAAACAATAAAAATAACATAAGTTCAAAAACATAAACAAGTAATCAAAACTTTGTTTAATATTTGATGCAATGTATTCGATTATTACCTTTTTTTATTATTTATTTTTATATTTTTTTTCCTTTATCATTCGTTTATATTAAATTATCAATAATCTCACTTACATTAAATGTATTGTATTTTTTTAATACAACATTAATATAACAATAACCATAAAATTAACCAATTTTTTTAGCCTATGGTTTACAACGAGTTGTTGGTATTTGCTTAACTCAGTCCTTACCATGTTACAGTTTACTTAAATTTATTATAAACAAACGTGATCCGGGTGTTTAGGGGATGTAAATTTGTAGGCATTTTACAATGATAGCGTTTATTTTTATTGTAATTTTTGGTTTGTATTGGTTGTCCTTCCTTTTTTTATATGTTTCGTTTTTTTTTTTGATTTTTATAGCCATTCATTTTTTTAGGTTACTTTACTATATTGGGTGTTCGTTCATCCTTTTGATTATTTATGAGCCATTTTTCATATATCATAACCTGTGAGTCTGGTTAAGAGGCTATTTTGAATAATTTTTAATTTTCATTTTAATATCTAATATGACTCCTATAATCTGTGTTTATTTTTTCTATTAATTAGATTTCGTGTATTAAATTATTTCCTTTAATTATTTGTCATAAAATTTGTATTTTTTTTTTATGGGAACAAAAAGTAAATTTTTAGGTGATTTGGTTTTGCCTTTTTTTGTGTAGTCCGTTGGATATTGTTTTTTTTGATGGTTGTCATGAATTATTCATTCATGATATTATTTATTCTAGTATTTAATGTTATTCATAATAGGCCTCTACTCCTTAATGGTAAGTTTCGCTGTTGAATTTTTTGGTGGGTGTTGTGTTGTTTTTTTAGCATTTGGCCACAACTTTTATATGTTCTGAGTTTGATGCATTACTCTTTGAGTTTGTTTTTTGTTAGAGTCGTGTTTGTGCTTTTTTTTGCTTTTTTATTTTTTTTCTTCTTTTTGTTAATGGGGCACTTTCTTTAAATTTGTACTTGTTTTGATTGGTTTTTTTGTTAGTCTGGTTTTCACTGTTGTTAAGTTTTGTTAGGGCATGTTTGGCCACAATTTAAATCTGTATGTTTCGAGTTAATCGTGATATAATTAACACTAAACATAAGCGATTATTATAAAGGGTAATACAGGGATAATAAAGGCTTATGATTTCTTGTGCAGAGTGCACACAAATGATGTTACACCAAGCTAATCTGTTTCCAGTGTGGCAATTGAAAGCTGTGAAAATCATGATGAAAGAATAATGAAGAAGAGATGGAGGAGCGTTACTAATACTAGTCAATAGCAAGAATTAGTAGACGAACCTGACAATGACAAATTCGTTGACAAAGAAATAATTTGAATGCAGGCACATTTGTACCTATTGTTTGCCCCTCCTACTTGGATGAACGCTTCTTATCTGAGAGCTACATAGTATCTATCACACTATAACTAATCAAGAATATCTATTTAAATTGAAATTAACGTTTTGTTTTATGAAAGTTAATTAAATCATAATATAGGAAAAATAAAATAAACATAAGCACAAGCATTTATCCTATAAAACAAAGCAAAGTTTGCTCCTAGGAACATACAAAACACAAAAGTAAAATGAGTTCCCAATATTCTGGTAGTTCCTTTCCAGCACAAGGCCATGTAATTCCTTACTGGAGCTTTCGTAGCTTCGTTAAACATGGTTCAGATTAGTTTGTTAACAGGACTATAATCACAAGGGGTCATCAATGCATTAAAGAAAATAATTCCATTGGGGATGGAATCACTCTGGTTATGGCAGCGTACAGTATCGATACTTCTGGCAAGGAATTCAAAAGATACTTGGCAAGAAGACTCAGCTTGCTTGGAATGCTCGATCAACGGGAGCAACTCTTTCATTTATGTTGATTTGGCAGCTTCACAATTATGGATAAGATCCAATTCGGGAGTTGGCACTAGGACTTGAACTCACCAAAAGCCATTCTGGGTGTGAGGCCAAACATTTGGATAATGCCAATT